GAGACTATAGATAGATATAGAGAGAGAAGTTATCGGATATATAGATATAGAGGGGAGGCTTTTTTTAGTCACTAGCGATATATAAGTAAATATTGTAGATAGATGATCTAAATAGGGTATATAGATATAAATAGAGGGTGATAGATACATAATGGATAGGTTAGATAGAATAGGTAGATAGAGTGAGATAGTTGATACAAGAGAAAACTGTAGAGTTCTTGTGTGAGTGAGTGCAGAAAGATGTGGGTGATGTAGACATATATCTATTGATATGGTTGTGAGGTAGTACGAGATGATACTATTGAGATAGAGAGAGACGTATAGAGAGAGTAAGAGATAGAGATATATGAGAGATAGAAGAGATAGATTGAGAATTGAAATATTTGAGTGATTGATTGTTGGTTAAGATATTTAGTATATAGAGCTCCCGTATATAGGGGTGTGTGATATAGATAGTTGGGGTGAGAGATAGATAGATATAAATATGGCTTTGATGATATATATATATTTTATAGTAGAAATTAAAGATGAATTGTGATAGAAAGTAGTTGAGGATAAATACTATCTAATTTTATATATCATATCTAATTTGTTTATATATCTATATTAATTTTTTGATGCGAGTATATATTTTGGTGTTGTTAGATATATATATTAATTTTAGGTTAGATTATATGAGATATTTGGGTATATAATATATATAGATTGTGTTTGATCTGATATAGAGTTGTTATAGGATATATTATATAAATATAGTCTTATCAGAGTAGATCGCTTAAATATATAGATTTTATGGATATAGATAAATGATGTAGTTTTGATTATATAGAGATCGCGTATATATTATGGATGATATATAGAATATAGTATAGTTGGGAGTATAGATGCAATATATATTTTGATGAGCGATATAAAGATAATATTAAAGATTGATAGATATAATATTATATGTGATGTCTATATCTTAGATATATTAGTTATTAGAGTAGATGATCGAGATAGTTGTGATGTAGATATAGTAGAGAGAGATTTGTAAGTATAGAGATCTAGATTGAGTAGGGAGTATATATATATATATGAGATTTTGAGGCTAGTCTAGATAGTATATAAAGATTGTAGTGAGAGAGTAATAGATAATATATATAATTGATATACTATATATTGTTCTATATAATATATCAGTTTTGTTTTATAGTATATATATCTTTTGTTATATAGATATAGAGTATATTAGTGATATTTTTTTCTATATATATGGATATCGACTATATGATATATATTTTTATATATAGAAGTGATAGATATTGTATTATGATCGACATTATAGTGAATATTATTAATATAATGTTGTTCTTAGATATAGATGTATATAAATATTTATTAATATAGATATCTTATTTTATATATCTATATATATTAATTCTATATATCGATTGATCTATAATTATATTTTTTGTTTTTCTCTATATATTTATATATTATAATTTATATATTATCGATATAAATATTTGTTAATTATAATATTATAGATAGAGATTTTTTTAGATATATATCGATATATATTTTTTTTATAGATATATATATATATGGTTATTTATCTATATAATAATATATTATATATATATATATATTATATATATATTTATATATTATATATATATAATGTATATATATATATTATGAGATCAATATATATTATTTAGTATTATTACTTATATCTTCTATATATAATTATATATATATAGATATCATTCTAGATATAGATTATACGATAGTGATATATATTAGATAGATATTATAAAATTGATATATATATATATAGATAGAGAGTATCTATATATCTATTAGTCTATAGATATCTATATAGAGCGAGTTATCCTAATAGATGATATAATATATATCTATAGAAGGATGATTATCTATCTCTATATATATTATATATATGAGATATAAGAGAGATTTATATAGATATAGATATATAATTAGAGATATATATAAGTATATATGATTAGATTAGTTGATTATATAGATTTTTATATATATATGTATAGATATAGTAGAGAGCGACTATAGATAGATAATGATAGAATAGTATAGCTATCTATATTATTCTATATATATATAGCTTTAAGTAAGACATATATAATATATATATTATATGTTTATAGAGATATATATATATCTATATAAATAGAGATAATTGTCATATATATAGAGAACTAAATATATATATAATTTAAATATATATCAAATATAATATTAGACAATCAATAATATTATTTGTATCTATATCTATATATATTAGTCTGAAATAGATAGATATATTTGTGTATTATCTATATTAAATATGATATAGATTGTTAGTATAGAGAGATTTTGATATATATTATATCGAGATTAGAATATAATATATATCTTATTATGATAGAGAGTATATATCATATGATATATATCGCTGAGTAGGTGATAGTATATCTATATATATATACATATAGAGTTT